TTGCGCCCGGCCAACATTTTGAAATTCGCGCGGCAAAACGTCGACCGTGCGCGCTTTTTCCATCTGCTCATCCAACGTGTGTCCTGACAAGTACAGTAGAGATCAAGCGAAGCAAACAAGCCCTGTTTACATCTAAAACATTTTATGCTTACGCATGCGCAGTTGATAATACGAGTATATAATGAGTTTTCATTTCAATTTGAGCTGTGTCCAGGCCGTTTAAGTCCATGCCGGTCGGCGTAGCCAGGTATGGGTTGGTAATTTCTGGTGACAGCGAAGCCGCCACCCTACGAGAAATCGTTGCTATGTCTTTTGTGAATATTCACGGGCTGGCATGCGCATGGAATGTGTCACTAGAATACCACTCTGTCTTCTGTAGTGGTTAGGAGGTGAGTGAGACAAGTGTGTAAATGGAAAAAAAAGCGCGCCCGGCCGACGTTACGAAATTCGCGCGAATTTCGAAACATCGGCCGGGCGCGCTTGCTTCGCTCACTTGCTTCTGTAGTAGTTCGGAAGTGGGTAGGACGAGCGACTTGTACTCTTATGGTACAGGTGAAAAAAGTGCGTGCTCGGCCGATGTTTCGAAATTCGCGCAAATTTCGAAATGCCGGCCGGGCGCGCTCGCTTCGCTCGCTTACTTCTGTTGTAGTAAGGAAGTGGGTAGGACGAGCAATTTGTGCTCTTATGGCACAGATGCAAAAAGGGCGCGCCCAGCCGACGTTTCAGCATGACACTTGTTTCAAACTTTTGAATTACACAAAGTAATAATTATTATGTTTAAAAGTTTTAAAAAATTACATTGTTTATTACTTTATAGATGACATAGTGTTAATATATTTTAATTATTTTGTACTACAACAATTTAATCAAACAGGATAAATAAATCGTCGGATATGACTGGAAATAAATTAATAGAAGGGCTATTTAAAGTGTTTAAAAATGTTATGTCAAAAATAAGGTACTTTTTTATATTTCTATTTCGTTGATTTTAATTAGATACTAGGCAACACCAAGTATATTTGTATTGGCAGAGCATGACAGATATAATTCTAAATTCTAAAAAATAAGCTTACATATATGATCACTTAATGATCCTCATAACTCTTAATATGTAAAGAAATTAAAAAAAAAAAAACCTTAATTTATGGAGTTTCCTGGGTGCCTATAAACGTAACGAACACACAAATTTCAAAAAAAAATTTTAAATAAAAAATAGTACTAACTGTATATATGAAACAACAAAAAAAAATTGCTGGTTACGCATAAATAACAGAGAAATTTGAGTTTTAACCTGCAGATTTTGGAATTTCTAACCTAAGATTTTTTCAATTTTCGTGTAATGTATGTGCATGGTTACCATATACTTTGATTTTCTTTTACTATACAGAGAATGGTCGCACTGCGCAGCTTTCTGAGTGCCTTTTAAAAGGAGATAGATAACTCCGCCATTTTGAACCCTTATTACGTGTTGCCTACATCTTGGCGCAATATTTTTAATAGGTGCGTTTTAATCATGGAGATTACACAAGGAGCACGCACTCCATGTATAACAAGCGTACTGTGTTAAACAGAGTATTTTAAGAGGGCGCTAGTGTTCCATAAGTACCAAAATGACATAACAGAATGAGGCGGTAGTTTGAAATAAAATAAATAATTCTAATTAATTATTAATTAATTAATTATAACTCTAATTATATTTATTTAATTTAAAAACATTTGACACGTGTTTACGTTAATTAAATAATCGGTTACTTTATTTTCACGCTAACTTCACAGTTGTTTATTCCTCTATATTCACACCGGTACAAAAGAAAAATTAGCGACGCTAGTGGTGAAAAAAGAAAGCTTTATTTATACGATAAAGCGCGGACATACTCTGGCAAATGCCACACTTGAGTGCGTGCTCCTTGTTTAGTCTCCATGGTTTTAATCATCCGCTTCTGATTCGGAATTGTCAGTTTTCTTGTTTTAATCTGACAGGTTAAAACGATTAAACCGACAATTCCGGAAGCAGAAGCGGATGATTAAAACGCACCTGATATTTTGCTTGCTGCTGTCAGTGTCAGTGAATATTATTTTTGAAGTCACAGTTTATTGCTAAAGAATCAGTTAGCTCACTTGGACCAGTTGAAAGTTCCAAAATAACATCCACTCGAGGGATACAAATTCAGGATACGCAGAAGACTACTGTTTTATTATAGGCGGTTGTCATATATTGTATTATCCGAGTTGCACAGTGTATAAACTGAAACATTGAGATCCAAAGTGCCGACGCAGAGTGAGCGATCTGATTCTTTAGCTGTAAACTGTGTCACAGGGTTCAAAATGGCCGCGCTCTATGTTGGGCGTGTTGGACCTCTCTCTTGCCTCGTATAGTAATCAAAGTATGTGATGGTTACCAAGAATTCCAGTTTTAAACAAAATCCAGATTAATAATTGACAGAATCGATTAGGTATTTTTATGAATCGAATACTTACATGTTTGGTTTTACTGTCTGCTTTAATCTCATCTCACGCAATTATAGTTATGAAAAATATTTGGTAACTATTGCGAAGACGCCCTTTTCTTAAAAATACAAATTTTTTTACGAAACTTACATTTTAGGCCTTAAAAAAGTGCATATTAAAGACTTACGAGGATCATTAACTGATCATTTATAGGTTTATTCCAACAACAATCTTGGAACCATACACAAACCAGTTTACAACTTATTGTCGACGACTGATAGTCGACGACCAGTCCACGACCTGTCTATGATTGAGACTGAATTCTGAACTTGGTTGTGTTGGAACACATGTTTCTGTTGTCACACACTGTCAATAACGTAAAAGTAAAAAAAAAAACATTAACAGATGTTAAATTTAGAATTTGGTAAATAAAAAAATTATAAAACTCGTTAAAAGATTTATAAATTTTGATTATTCGATTGGTTAGTACAATAACTTATTTTATTTTTTACTGTATCTAAGTCAGAATAATAGTTCTTTTAACTTTTTACACTCATTACCTCACAAAATAATATACTATAAATAATGATAATGAATAAAAACCAAATTACGATCCAGACTACGATCGATGATGCTATCAAAACGAATATAATCACGACATTTCCAGAGTTGGTCGTGATTGATTTACGAGCTTACTTTCATTTTGCGCATGTCTTGACAATTCGTTCCTATTCATACCCAGGAACTGATTTGACAGTACAGAAACTGGTTTGTGATTAGGTTTGAGTATGTTGGAACACTAGAATATTGTACAGTTTTGAGTCCGAGGTTTGTTGGAACACCAAATCTAGACTGCGCAGAATCCCGACAGTACGTACCTAAACCGATTTGCTATTCTGTTGGAACAAACCTTATGTAAACTTATTCATTAGAATTTAGAATTATATCTGTCATGTTGTTAATTCAAATATTCGCGGTGTTGCCAAGTGTAACTAAAATCAACGAAAAAGAAATTACTCTATTTTTTAAATAGCATTTCCATACATTTTAAAAAGCATTTCCTTAATTTGTTTTCAGTCACATCTGACGATTTATTTAACCATTTTAAATGAATTGTGGTGGTAGATAATAATTAAATAATAATATTACATCATCTATAAAGTAATAAACAAGTACTTTTCGAAAAAAAATTTAAAATTTGTGTGTCCGTTACGTTTATAGGCACCCCGGAAACTCCATAAATTAAGTTTTTTTTTTTAATTTCTTTACATATTAAGACTTATGAGGATCATTAAGTGATCATATATGTAAGCTTATTTTTTAGAATTCAGAATTATATCTGTCATGCTCTGCCAATACAAATATGCTTGGTGTTGCCAAGTATCTAATTAAAATCAACGAAATAGAAATATAAAAAAGTACCTTATTTTTGACATAACATTTTTAAACACTTTAAATAGACCTTCTATTAATTTATTTCCAGTCACATCCGACGATTTATTTATCCTGTTTGATTGAATTGTTGTAGTACAAAATAATTAAAGAATATTAACACTGTCATCTATAAAGTAATAAACAATGTAATTTTTGAAAACTTTTAAACATAATAATTATTACTTTGTGTAATTCAAAAGTTTGAAACAAGTGTCGTACTGCATATAGGAAAAAATAACTCATGCTTCAACTATTACTTAAACGGCTCCTATAAAGCTTGGGACTCATTGTAAACTCATCATTAACGTGGTCAGAGCACATATCAGCGGTATGTAAACGTTCGAACTCAATGCTCTACCTATTAAAAAAGTCCTTCATGCGTGTGAACTTTCAAACATTTTCTAAACTTTATATAACTTACGTTAGACCGTTGATGGAATATGTCGGACCTGCGTGGTATCCTGATCTGGTTTTTGATCAAAACAGATTGGAAAATGTTCAACGCTACGCTACTCGAATAACTTTCGGCAGAATCAGACCATCATATTATGAAGAATGGCTTAAAATGGCGAGTTTGTGTTCATTTGCCCACAGGAGATTAAGAGGTGATTACAGAATTCTTCATCGTACTTTTTTATCCAACCTCTCTAGTATACTCCCACGGAATACAGATGAGCGCCTACGATGAGTACAAATTAAGCAAAGAAAATTTTAAAACACATACCTGACAACACCTTTTTGGTAATAGGGTTTTTTATACTTGGAATAATTTACCCTCGAGTGTGGTTCGCGCACAGTCAGTAAATGTAATGACTTTTAAAAAAAAAAACTAAAAGTTTATTTTTATTGTTTTGTTTGCATTATGTTATTTGCTAATTACTTATTTAATAATTGTTTTTGTTATTGAACTGTAATTTTAGGCTTAATATGATTCATTCCTCAGCCCTAATTTGTTTGTAATAATATTAATAATAATAAAAACACAATTCTTCCATTCCTTGTATTTGGAATTTGCAAATCAAAAATATCATAACTATTTCCTCGATATAGATATTTAAATATGATCGCATTTTCATCTGTGATGAGGGACCAAACTCCTAAAATATTTTGTTTTGTAGTTGGACTGCGGTGCTTTTGGACGTTACGAATGTCATAAAACCAAATTTTGGGGCAGTTAGAAAATTATTAGCTCTAAGTAAGATGCAGGTTATAGATTGTTTTGAAGATTTGAACCCCGATGAGAAATACGTCGCTCTTGGAACAAACTGCAAATTCAAACAGCCTCCTGGAGGGTAAGTCGCAATCAAACAATTTTTCAGGATGAGTCCTATTCGAAATTTTATTATGTCGCTGAATCTGCTTAAGAATAATCAAATCTGATGTCGCATAATCCGGATCTTTTTTGAGAAATAAATAATGGTAAGATTGTTTTCAGTGGCATAGATAGAGAGGATTAAGGAAAACAATCCTTCTCCATAAGTGTACAAAAATTATTAGTAAATTAAATAAAATACTTTTCATCTTTATATATTTATGTATGTAAGAAATTCTTGGATTTTTTTAATGTTTTGTACCAAATAAAAAAAGATAAAAGTAGGACTTTTGAAGAAACATTTATAGAATTAAATACTCATATTCCCCTACTGTAAAAAGCTATTTACGCCACTGCTTGATTTGTCATAAATTTTTTCTGTTTTTCAAAATAAGTCATAATGTATTATCTTAAATAATTTCTTTATTTTAATTCTCGAAAAGCAAATTTTATTTTCGATAAGAATTTACCCACATTTTGTGGCATTCGAAAATATTTTACATTACACTATTTTTGGATTTCGCATTATGGTTTTTGCAAGTCTCCTCCGCGCGCAATTTAAATAATAATTCAGTTCTTTCCTATTATACAGTGTGTCTACTTAAGTTGGAACCATATGGAAAACATTTTTATTATTGATTTTAGGAAAAAAAGTTATTCCTAATAAAAAGTCCTGCATGACCCAAAACTTAAAATACAGTCATCAGATATCAAATTTTTTCAAGCCGTATACGAGGTTTGTCAAAAAATATGAATTTTGCTCAAGAGTAAAGTACGTCTATTTTTTTATAAAATCGAAAATTTTCATTAAGAAATTTGCTAATTTCTTCACAAACAACAAAAGGAAAGCGTATCATGTTTATAGTAGCTAATGTAATTTATAACGTTTTTAGATATTTACATTCAATGTGTAGAGTGTAGATTTTATAAAAAATAAGAAAATCTGTTTTTCAGATAGATCGGTGTAATTGCATATTTGAATGTAATATTCAATTCTAATCAAATTTTCTTAATGAAAATTTTCGATTTTGTCAAAAATAAACGTACTTTACTCCTGAGCAAAATTCATATTTTTTGACAAACCTCGTATACGGCTTGAAAAATTTGATATGTGATGACTGTATTTTAGGTTTTGGGTCATGCAGGACTTTCTATCAAGAATAATTTTTTTTCCTAAAATCAATAATAAAAATGTTTTCCATATGGTGTGACAGGCTCCTGGTTCACCTACAGTGAATCAGCGAGTCTGTGTGGCGCTATGAAGGTGATTCCCAAATAGGAGTTGCTCAGGCGCCAGTTTTGATATCGCAGTTTGCTCTGCGACCCTGTGGTACACCAGAGTGTACTCAAGGTGAACTCAGTGGAGGTAAAAATAATTCCAGGCGGTCACTGCTAGGTAATCACTATACTAGAATTAATCAAAAAAATAAAACACTTATCTCCTTTACACCTCGTACCCTACGGTACCCTGAAAGAGAACGGTTAAGAACCAGTAATAAGAGAAACACAGGAATAGGTACTAAAATATATATTTACAAAAATTAATAATACAACGGCAATTAAATATGAACGGCTCCCTATATGCGAAAACTTATTAAAAATAAATTGTTACCAATGAAAACTAATTAAATATTAACGGCTCCCTATATGCGGAAAATGGATAAAAAATAAATTATTATTATCAATGAGAACTAATTAAATATTAACGGCTCCCTATATGCGGAAAATTGATTAAAAATAAATTATTATCAATGAAAACTAATTAAATATTAACGGTTGAAAGTTTTTCTCATGCAGACATCTGGTAGTCCATAGCTTCCACAAGAGACAAACCCTTTCCCACGAGCTGTTAAAAAACAAAAAAAAAACTAGGGGCTGAAACAGCTCTGACCATCGACAGGGGGAAGCAAGCGAATACCGCTATCACCCCCTGATTAACGCGAAAATGGATTATTAAAAATAAATTAATACACTCGAAAACAATTGAAATATGACTGTAATTAAATGCAAGCAAATAAATGAAATCAAAGTTTTCGGAACGTCCCTGTATCTTAGACGAGGCGATCGGCGGCGCTCTGGTAATTATTGAATGAGAATAGGTTTCAGCGCGGTGTTTGGGAGAAAAATACAATGTTTAACGTAAAAATTATTTTGAGATTTGACGGTGTGTGAATTGATTTTACAGAAATCGTCGGCTTCGTTCAATAATTAGTTGTGGACGGAGAACGGAATGATTCAAATACAATTGAATGAGTAAATAAAAGAAAAGAGAAATTTACATGAAAAATACTGGGTGCTTCTTATAAAAAAATTGCCAACGGTTTCCACTAAGGAATGAAATAAAAAATGCTGGGCATGAATCAAAATTCTTGATTTGTAACACGGGTGTCCCAATTAATTATATGAAAGCCAATATAAAAAAAAATATACGGTTCCTACCTTAACAAATCCAACGGGTTAACCAACTACTTATTTACGGTCACGGCACTATACGGCGTCGTCACTATAATTTTTAGAAAGATCAGTACTTCTCGGGTGTCGGGAGTCAAGAGGCGGCATTTTTAGCTTTCCATCAATTTATGCTTTTTCGGTAAAGAAAGATGGAAGACTAGTACGACAAAGTGGGGATACCACTACTACAGCCGACTGTTTACAATTCAGAAATACAAAAAATGTCCTTCTTGTACCTTGACAATTAAAAGTAGATAATTCATACGAAATCGACTCTAAAAATGCCCATTCGGATTTCGGCAAATAAAAGGATATTTTAACCTACGAGGGTACTCGCAATTGTTGAAAATCGGTCATTTTTGGGAAACAAAAATACGGGGGAACTTCTACATGTTCTCAGGCGGGAATTAATTGAAATATACATTTTTAAGATGAATTAAAAATAAAATTTAGTGACTTCGTCACAATGGTTCCAACTTAAGTAGACACACTGTATATAGGAAAATATAGTCACTACTAACACAAAAACAAATTGTAAAATTATTGTACACTATTCAATAAAAAGGTGTCAAAATAACTTGAAAGTTCGTCCCGAATTACGTCATTGCGCGGTTTGGACGAAATTTGAATCGAAAGTCAGCATACCGTTAGTATGTGTATCGTGGGCAAACAATAAATATTGTGTATATTTGGCGAATGTTGAATTCAGTTCCACCTTTTAGGTTCGGTGTTGCCGTCTCTACAGATAGTTAGTGAATCCACAGACAAAGCTCACAGTAGCGTTGGAAATAGTCCGTTTTTAAAATACATTTCTACAAAAAATTTATCCTTAATGAAAGTTGTTTTTATTACGAAAAATGAAATTCACAGAAAGATAAATAGGGTGTGCATAAAATTTCTATAAAATAGGTAGTGTTACAGAATAAATACAAAATCCGAGCACGAAATTATGAAACGAGCTTGTCAATTTTGGTCCGAACTTATAACATAAAACACTTTCTAAAAAAATTATCCTAAGTTCAGCTCCGAAAATTTTACGGTCGAAAAAAATTAATAGGTACCGATTTTGCTTAAATAGTGGAGAAAAAGACATTCCTAGAGCAAAAATTTAGAGCGCTAAAGGCGTTTTATAAAATTGCACTTTTCGACAAGGCTTTGCGTTGCATAATAAACTTATTATGAAACTCAAATTTAAAACCCCATTTATAAACAAATAATTTTAAATTCCGTAATGTTCAAATAAAAATAAAGAAAGAATGCCACCCTTGGCAACGTTGTAATTTCATGTGCTGTCATCAAAATATGTGATCTGTCTGTGGTTGTCAATGTCATTGCGAATGCGATTCAAATAACAAATACATGTGTATTTATTAGTAAATCAGGCATTTGAAACAAATGAAACGCTGTTCTAAGGTTTGGTATGTCTACACCCAAACAGCACACCAAATCCTTTGGATATCTACTGAACATCCCAATATCCACTGAATGTCCAGCCCATGGTGGATATCTATTTTATATACATGAGATGTTATTTATAGACATGCAAATGTCTATAAATAATAGTAATTATATAGCAAATTTTTAAAAAATTACGCCATTGTGCTCGCCATTGTGGCTAATAGTACCGTTCAGATATTTAAAATTAATTTATCCCATGGAAATCCACTAATCAAAGTCTAGGCGCGAACGCAAACCATCGTGGATATCCACTAGATGTAATTTTTGATTTTGCTTACTAAGTATAGATGGCGATACAACTTTCGCATCTACTCATGCTCAACCCGCCGTAATTGAGTTTGATCGAAATTTGTTTCTCAATCAGACTCGATTAGAGGCTGGAGTCGAGAATTTCCATTTATTGCTGAAGAGTCCTTATAAGGATGACTTTCTCCTTAGTGGGCAAAATCAAAGGCAGAGTGTTGAAAATATTTTTTCTCTGCTATTTTCTTTCGACGTTATTCAATAATCATTGGTTACTTATATGAACCTCTACTAAAGAAGATACCCATAAAATATTTTGCTGAATATCCGAATTCTTCTATATCCTGGGATATAGACGGACATTTGGTTGGATATCCATATTGGATATCCACAAAATATATTCTATGGATATCTCTGGGATTTCTTGTATTGTCTGGAAGATACCCATTTTATATTTTGCTGGATAATCCATAGGATATCTTCTATATTCTGGATATAGACGGATATTTGGATATCCATATTAGATCCACGGAATATTTCTGATATCCTGTGGATATATTGGATATCTACAAAAGATATTCTGTGGATATCTCTGGGATTCGGTGTGTTGTCTGGGCATACGATGTAGTTTATTTACAATACGTGAAAGCAAAATTAATGAATTACATTTAAATATTTTATGTTAAACACAATGAAAATATTATTTTTATAAAAACTGTTCATGCATTTTCTATAAATTGGCACTCCTGCTGCGGAACGGGCTACTCCTGCTGCTCCTGAAACTTCTCAGGGAAAAGAAACACCTACTGAGGTAGGAGATAACATACC